CCTCCAGTCTCTGTCAGACCATTAAATCTGGTCTTTTTATGTGAGTCTGAGTGCTGTTCTACATTTTTCTCCTGCTCTGTCTCAGACTCTCTGTTGTGTTCCTGTCAGTGCAGTCATTGCTGGTAGCTGGGTACCATCTAGTTCTTCTGGTCTCAAGTTGCATTGGAGTCTCTGGTTCATTTGGTCCTTGAGTCCTTTGGGCTAATATTTTCCTTGTGTCTTTGGTTAAGCAACCATTTTAATAAGGTGCAAGCAGCTTTGCTGATTCAGATATTGTAGAACCCATCCATATTTTTACTGACCTCATCTACTTTTGTACTGTGCATTTTGCTTTCATTTTATTGGTTTCATCATGAGGTTTATTTCTCAGAGAATATTTTGTTTTTAGCTACCTTCGCTAGTTATTGTCATCTCATGGAAGAAAAAGTTAGATTTTATTTTTAATTTTTTCCAGTCTGGTCTTTATAAGATGACTTCCTTTTTTAACTGTTTTTTATTTCTATGCTTCAGAATTCTTAGTCAGTAGTGTTCCAATATTTAAAAAGGATTAGTTTTAAAACAGAGTAAGAAATAGTTAAATTATCTGTTGTTTTTTGGATTGCATGTGCAGTCTGTTGGCATTTGATGTGTTGATGTTTGTTAGATGCATATTTCTTAATACAGTTAGCATTAAAATCAGAGGGGAAATACATCTGATAAAATTTAGACATAAAGTTGGTTTTATTCCACAGTGATAGTTTTAATTTCATATTTATGATATAAAACCCATTGCCATTGAGTCGATTCCGACTCATAGTGACCCTATAGGACAGAGTAGAACTGCCCTATAGGGTTTCTGAGGGACCCCTGGTGGATTTGAACTGCCGACCTTTTGGTTAACAGCTGTAGCTCTTAACCACTACACCACCGGGGTTTCCATTTATGATATAGACATTTTAAATAGAATTATGTCAACACTGATGATTTTTCCATGAAAAAGTATTGTATGATGTGAATTCCATTATTGCCATTTTAAGATGAGGAGGGAAAGGTGAATGGCAGAAGCCAAGAGCTGGCTAGCTTTGTCTGCATGGGAAAGAATGCAAAAGGGAAGGAAAGAGCAAAGGGAAGAGAGATCCCAGGAGTGGTGAAGAGAGAGGTGTTTTGGAGTTTATGGAGAAAAGGGGTTGTCTTAGTCTTAGTTGTCTGGGGGAGCCTTGGTGGTGCAGTGGTTAAGAGCTCAGGCTGCTGACCAAAAGGTCAGCAGTTCAGATCTACCAGCCACTCCTTGGAAACCCTATGGGGCTGTTCTACTCTGTCCTGTAGGGTTGCTATGAGTCAGAATTGACTCGATGCCAATGGGTTTTTTGTTTTGGTAATTGTCTAGTGCTGTTATAACAGAAATACCACAAGTGGATGGCTTTAACAAAGAGAAATTTATTCTGTCACACTCTGGGAGGCTAGAAGTCCAAATTCAGGGTGCCAGCTCCAGGGGAAGGCTCTCTCTCTCTGTCAGCTCTGGCAGAAGGTCCTTGTCATGAATCTTCCCCTGGTTTAGGGGCTTCTCAGCGCAATGACTCTGGGTCCGAAGAACATGTTCCCTTCCTGGTTCTTCATTCTTGGTGATAGGAGGTTGCTTTCTTCTCTGCTCAATTCTCTTTTTTATATTCAAACGGGATTGACTCAAGATACAGCTTAATCTTGTAGATTGCATCCTGCCCCATTTATGTAACTGCCTCTAATCCTGCCTCATCAACATCGTAGAGATTAGGATTTACAATATGTAGGTAATTACATCACAAAATGGAGGACAACCACACAATACTAGGAATCATGGCCTAGCTAAATTGATGCACGTAACGGGTAAATGAGGTGAACAGTTGTTATGAGAAGGACTTTGGGGAAAGAAACGTATAAAGAGGGTATTTAGTCAGTTTTGCTGTGCATTATGCTATTTAATTCCCCTTTTGTGTCTTCCCTAAGAGACTGTTAGCAAAGAGTCGTATCACTTTTGGGGTACTTTTTGGAGTTTTATTTTTCTTTTGGTCTGTCACCTTGTTGGGATAAGCCTCAAGGCAGAACCTTTTATTTAGATTACATGAATATAAGATATGTGTCTTAGTCATCTAGTGCTTCTATAACAGAAATACCACTAGTGGATGGCTTTAAGAAAGAGAAATTTATTCTCTCACAGTTTATGAGGCTAGAAGTCCAAATTCAGGGCGCCAGCTCCAGGGGAACGCTTTCTCTCTCTGTCAGCTCTGGAGAAAGGTCCTTGTCATCAGTCTTCCCCTGGTCTAGGAGCTTCTCAGCACAGGAACCCTGGGTCCAAAGGACACGCTCTGCTTCCAGTGCTGCTTTCTTGGTGGTATGAGGTCCCCCTGTCTCTCTGCTTGCTCTTTTATGTCTCAAAAGAGATTGACTTAAGCCAAAACCTAATCTTGTAGATTTGAGTCCTACCTCATTAACATAACTGCCAAATTACATCATTACATCACTGCCTCTAATTGTGCCTCATTAACATCATAGAGGTAGGATTTACAACACGTAGGAAAATCATATCAGATGACAGAATGGTGGACAGTCACACAATACTGGGAATCATGGCTTAGCCAAGTTGACACATATTTTTGGGGGACACAATTCAATCCATAACAATATGTATATTTGAATTTTGCCTTTTTTTCGTTGAAATCAGTATCAGAAGACTTTCTGTGTCATTAAAAACTCTACCCCCACTGCTTAAAGTACTTTTTTTTTTTTTAATCATGTACTTTTTTATTCATGCTGCTTTCCTGCATTACCCTTCCACTTCCTCTGAAAATGATGGTGTAGAAGGAAAGGAAAGGAGGGGCAATCCATAGTCCCTTTTCCGTTCAGTCCTTCCTTACACATCAGTAAGGTAGAGCCAAAGGCAGAGTCTTGGTAGAATTGTACATATCCAGAAGTGAAATAAAAGCAGTCGAATTAGTTTTGTGAAATATTTCCACCTTTCTGGTAAAAAAGAAATGCATATGCTTGTACAGGCTACAGAATATGAATTGTGTAGTTTTGTGATGCTGTGTACAAGTTGCATGCCCTCATATTTGCATTTCAAGAGGGCATTACCCATTGCGGTTGAGTCATTTCCAACCCACAGTGACCCCCCAGGACAGAACAGAACTGCCCGATAGGGTTTCCAAGGCTGTAGTGGCACAGTGGTTAAAGAGCTTGGCTGCTAACCAAAAGTTCGGCAGTTTGAATCCAATAGCCTCTCCTCGGGAACCTCGTGGGCAAGTTCCACTCTCTCCCACGGGGTCTGTACGAGTCGGAACCGACTCAACAGCAGTAGGTTTGTTTGTATTGTTGTAGTTTAAGTGAGGGTTTACAATTCAGGTTAGTCTCTCATACAAAAATTTATATATACATTGTTATGTGACCCTAATTACTCTCCCTATACTGTAACACAACACTCCTCCTTTCCACCCCTGATTTCCTGTGTCCATTCAGCCAGCTCCTGACCTTCTCTGCCTTCTCATCTCACCTCTGGACAGGAGCTGCCCATTTAGTCTCATGGGTCTACTTGAGCTAAGAAGCATACTTTTTACGAGTATCCTTTTATGTCCCACAGTCCAGTCCAATCTTTGTCTGAAGAGTTGGCCTCGGGAATTGAAAAAAACTGTTTTTAATGGCTCAGTTACAGTGCATTCCTTTAATATTAGACATTTAGAGTTTTTTCATGTTTTTGGTAAAATGTTACAATGAATATCTTAATTATCAGTCTTTGCATGTCTAAATTATGTCCTTCAGAAGAATAATTACTGGTAGAAAGTTATGAACATTTTTCTCAAACTCTTGATATTATATGTTTATAAATACAGAAATAATTGTTTGAAGTTATTAATAATTTTTCAGTGCATAACTACTGCCAGGGAGCAGCTTGAAGGTCATATAATCTTTTTAATCAAAGAAGGTCCTCTTGATGCTGTCTTCTCCAACCCCTTCTTTTCAGACCAAAAGTATCAGAGAAATAAGAACCTCACGTTGGTATTTTATGATAATTATTCCAGGTCTTACCAAATTCTAATAGTCAAGATATTCTTCCTTTTGTCTAGTTTTATATGTGCTCCTTTACTGTAGAATAGAGTGAAACCTTCGCAGGTCCCCATGTGTGAAGTGACCCCATGTGTGTCAGATTAGAACTGTGCTCCATAGGGGTTTCAGTGTCTGATTTTTCCGAAGTATATCACCAAGCTTTTCTTCCAAGGTTCCTCTGGATAGACTTGAACCTCCAGCCTTTCAGTTAGCAGCTGAGCACGTTAACTGTTTGCATCACCCAGGGTCTCCAGAATAAAGATGCTTCATCCTTTTTATAGTTCAGAGAGTGGAGTTTTTAAAATGGATTTGTTCCTTCCTGTTCTTTCTCTAGACTGAGTAGTATAATAATAATGATAAATTACATTTGTATACTATTGTTTTGATCATAAAACACTTTGATATATATTATTCCATTTAATCTGCATGACATTCCTGATGGGCAGATATCCATATTTTAAAAAAAAAAAAAAATTAGACTCTTATTACCAAGTGGAACTTGGAGTACAAACCCAGGTTTTTGACTTATTATCTGGGCTGTGTAGAGTAATACTGAGACCGCAGATTCTAGTGCTGGAGTGACTGGCTTCAGAACATACCTCTTTTACTTACTCGCTCTTAGGCAAGTTTTCTTACCCTCTGCCTCAGTTTCCTCACCTGTAATGTGGAAAATAATAGTACCCACTTTATAGGATTGTCTGAGGAGTTAAGTGAATTAATCTGTATAAAGCGTGTAGAAGAGTACCTGGCATCTAAAAACATTCAGTGAGTGTTAGCTGTTACTAGTTACTACTAGTACTGTTACCATCGACTACCATATCATAGTCTTCTTTGATTTCCAGGACCAGACAGCTGGAAGCGTGTTTTCCTGTTAGTGTTGCTTTTCTGGGCTAAATTCCTGGGCAGCTGTTTTGGAGATTCTGGTGATACTCTTGGTTTATTCGCAGAAGAGCAAAACAATGAAGAAGGCGAGAAAAGACGCAAAAAGAAGAAGGGTACCAAGAGGAAACGGGATGGAAGAGGTCAAGAAGAAGGGACTTTGGCTTATGACCTGAAACTGGATGACATGCTTGACCGAACCTTAGAGGATGGCGCCAAGCAGCACAACCTAACAGCGGTCAATGTGCGAAACATCCTTCACGTGAGTAGGACTCAGGCGGCTGTGTGATCGTAAGGGAACATTTCCGTGGAAAGCAAATGAGATTATTCAGAAAGTTCTGGACTCTTGGTATGTGAATTACTAATTTGGGGGGTTACTGTGGCAAAATGTTTTACATTTCCAGATGGCTTCCTTCTTTGCACTCAGCACGTGTTTGAAATCCGAACACGTTAAAAAACTTAATTGGGAATATAAATGGTTCCTGTTTCCTTCCACTGCTTTGATTTTTTATTGTGTTGTGTAGCAGATTTGTAGATGATAATGTTCATAGTGGATTTACTCTTTTGTGGGTTGAAATGTCTGTAAAGACGCCCAGTTAACAACTTACAGTACTTTGCACATATGTAAATACCATTTTTTGATGTATAGCAGCACAGCTATTTGCAGTCTTTGCTGTTAATTACTCTTTCTCTTAAGCATATAGTTACCTCAGAATTTTTTAAGTGAGCCATTTCCATTCCTAATCGCAGCTAGTGAGATTGGTCTGTTTGCTGCCACGTTGTCTGAAGCTATCCAAAGCTTGCTTTTGCCTTCTTCGCTTTCAGCTTTGCTTTAACTCAGTGTGAAGTTAGTGGCATATCTAGCTCTCTTTTATCCTCTACACATATCTAGCAGAGATACAGAGAGATGAGTATTGTCTAGATGGCAGACATTCGTTGCAGAAAGTGAAATTCCATCTTTCTGCAGGAGGTAATCACGAATGAACACGTGGTAGCAATGATGAAGGCAGCCATCAGTGAGACGGGAGATACGCCAATGTTTGTGAGTATTTGGTTGTCACTCTTTTCACGTCAGGGAACAGGTATCTGTGAAATGACTGAGTGTAGGAGGCCACTTGGGTGTTTGTAAGTAGTTTTACAGCTGGGAGCAACGTTAGCATCGCAAAACTCAAGAATCATCACATCATTTTTATTGACTGTTTTCTTCCTGTTTTCCGTTCCTTAGGAGCCTAAAATGACGCGCTCCAAACTGAAGGAGGTGGTGGAGAAAGGAGTGGTGAGTGTTGTGTTTCATATTATTGCTCATTTAGCTTGGAAATTAGATCTAGTATCAGGTTGTTTGTAGGGAAGAGTACAGGGAAGATTTATTGGGGTCTAGGTTTGCCTCTGAAGAAATATTTGTAAAAGATAAAATACTTGAAAGCGTTATCATAGTTTATTTTTATTTTAGTTGATGCTCAAGTATTGCTTTTCAGAAGTGCTAGATAGAGAGCTATTAGAATTGTTGAAACCAGTGAGCGAGGTCAGTTTTCTACTCATGTCATAGTATATGTTGGCAGAGTGTTTCGGGTAGTGTTTTTTGAAGTGTGTCCCAGAGACCACTTGCATCAAAATCACCTTGGTGTGGAGTCCCTCAGAAGTGCTTATTAAAAATGCACCTTTTTGGGCGCACTGCAGACCTAGGAGTCAGGACGTATGGGGTAGAGACAGAGAATATGCATTGTTGAAAGCACAACAGGTCATTCTTTTGCACACTAAAGTATAGGAACCACTTTTACGCTTTGAATCATTCTGTGTCCTTCTTTACAAGCAGTTGTCAAGTTTGTGTTTACCTTCTGTGACAAGGCACACGGTAGTCCTGAGGAAGTCCATTCTATCTCTGGTAGTAGGGAAGATTTGGCTTTGTTGTTGTGTGCTGTCGGTTCTGACTCATGCTCGTTGAACCCATTGATGTTGAGTTGATTCCGTATCATAGCAACCGTATGGGACAGAATAGAACTGCCCCATAGGGTTTCCGAGGCTATAATCTTTACAGAAGCAGACTGCCACATCTTTCTCCCGTGGAGCAGCTGGTGGGTTCAAACCACCAACTTTTCTGGTTAGCAGCTGAGTGGCGCTTATTTAACCACTGTGCCACAACCCAAAATACATATTACACTTTCTGTCTGTTTGCACTGGTTCTGTTCTTTGGGACCCTGCAGAAGAAGTCTTGTTCCTCTTCCCTATGACCTTTCCTTTGTTGGAAGACAACTATTCTGTCTTTCCATAATCATCTTTTCTAGCTAAACATTCCCATATTTTTTATTGTTCTTCATGTGACAAAACTTTTTTTTTTTTTTAATGAAGTCAAGTTGGCTGATTGTGCCCTTAAGATCTTCTCTATCTTTGTTGAGTTTCTTTCTAAATGTTCTGTCCTTTACCGAGAGTGGTGTGGTGAAGTCTCCTACTGTTATTGTGGAACTTTCGGTTTCTCTTTTCAGTGCTGTTAGAGTTTGTTTTATGTATTTTGGAGCCCTGTCATTGGGTGCATAGATATTTATTACGGTTATGTCTTCATGATGGATCGTCCCTTTAATCATTATATAGTGCCCTTCTTTGTCTTTTATGGTGGATTTTGTTTTAAAGTCTGTTTTATTTGAGATTAGTATTGCTACTCCTGCTCTTTTTTGGTAGCAATTTGCTTGCTATATTTTTTCCCATCCTTTGATTTTTAATGAATTTTTGTCTTTGTTTCTTTGTTACATCTTTGTTTCTTGTGGAGGGTATATTGATGGATCCTGTTCTTTTAATCCATCTGTCACTCTCCGTCTCTTTATGGGTGCGTTTAGGCCATTTACGTTCAGTGTAATTATTGATAGATATGAGTTTATTGCTGTCATTTTATAGTGCTTTTTTTTGTGGTGCAGATGTTTTCTTTGTACCTCTTACTCTCCTGTGCTGAGTTTCTTTTGTTTGCAAATGTTTTTCATTTCTTTTGTTTTTGTAAATTTTGTGTTTATTGAGTCTTTATGTTTTTCTTTATTTTGATGAGTAGGTTTGTTAACTTTCTTTGTGGTTACCTTGAAATTAATCCTTATCTTCCTAGATTTGAACCGGTCTATTATTACTTGGTATCACCTTGCCTTCCTCTCCATTAGAAAGTTCTACACCTACACCGTTTATTCCCTCTTTTATTGTTCTGATGGTGTTGTTATTTACAGATTAACATCTCTGGTTCCCTGTTGTAAATCTTTTGGTTCTGAGTAGTCCTTGAGAGTTAATTTCCTCGGTTGGTGTCTGGCTGATGTGATCTTGTGTCCTAGATTCAGGCTGTGGTCTGATGTTGTTTGTTTTGAAACCGAAGGACTCTGTTTAATAATTCTTGTAAGTTTGGTTTGGTTTTTACAAATTCCTTTAATTTCTGTTTATCTGGAAATGTCCTAATTTCACCATCATATTTGAATGAGAGTTTTGCAGGATATATTATTCCTGGTTGGCAGTTTTTTTCTTTCAAGGTTTTATACGTGTTATCCCATTGCCTTCTTGCCTGCATCATTTCTGCCGAGTTATCAGAGCTTAGTCTTATTGTTTCCCCTCTGTATGTGACTTTTCGTTTTTTCTCGAGTTGCTCTCAGTATTTGTTTTGGTCATGTAGTGCTGCTTATAACAGAAATACCACAAGTGGATGGGTTTAACAAAGACAAGTTTATTCCCTCACAGTCCAGTAGGCTACAAGTCCAAATTAAAGGCATCAGCTCCAAGGGAACGCTTTCTCTGTTGGCTCTGGAGGAAGGTCCGTGTCATCAATCTTCCCTTGGTGTAGGAGCTTCTCTGCGCAGGAACCTCAGGTCCAAAGGACGCATTGTGCTCCTGGTACTGCTTTCTTGGTGGTATGAGGTTCCCATGTGTCTGATTGCTTCTCTCTTTTGTATCTCAAAAGAGATTGGCTTAAGACACTATCCAATCTTATAAACCTCATCAGTGTAACTGCCACTAATCCATCTTATTAGATCATCGTGATTGAGTTTACAATACATAAGGAAATCACATCAGATTACAGAATGGTACACAATCATACAATACTGGGAATCATTACCCAGCCAAGTTGACAGATATTTTTGGAGGACACAATTCAATCTATGACAGGATTCTTTCTTTGCCTTCGGTTTTAGTGAGTGTGATTATGATATGCCTTGGTGATTTTCTTTTGGGGTCTATCCTGTATGGGGTTCATTGAGCTTCTTGGATGATCAGCTTTTCATCTTTCATGATATTAGGAAAGTTTTCTGTCAGCAATTCTTCAGCGATCCTCTCTGTGTTTTTCGTTTTCCTGTTCTGGAATTCTCATCACTCGCAGAATTTTGCTTTTGATTGTATCCCACATAATTCTCAGGGTTTCTTAATTTTTCTTCGTTCTTTTTTCCGATTTTTCCTCAAAGTTGTATCCAAGTATTGGTCTTCAGTTTAGCTGATCCTGTCTCCCATTGTTTCAAACCTGCTCCTCAGACCTTCTATGTCACTGTCCATTTCTGAAATCTTGTTGTTTTATCTTTTGGATTTCTAATTGGTGTTTTTGTATGATTTCTAGTTGTGAATTTATTTTGGCATTTTGTTCCTGTATTATTTTCCTGAATTCTTCTTTTTTTTGTCCGTATTTTCCATGAATTTATCTGCCTTTTCCATGAATTTGTCTATTTTTTCCTCATTTTTATATGGGCTTGAGTTGCTTCATTCCCTTCACTGGATAACAGGCTCAGCTTCACAGAGCTAGATCATGTAGCCAGGATGTGGCAGGGGTAAGGGGATGGAGAACCTAAGGCTCTTTCTGGAGATAGAATCTAGTAGCCAGTTGAATTTGGTTCATAAGATGATTTTGGTTGGGTCACAATTAAATGGTCAAGAAATTATACACCCCAATGGCATTTTGTTAGCAGCATATAAGAGCTTTTTGAAAATTCTTAAAAAAAAAATTTCCCCAACTCTATTATGAAAATTTTTAAACATACAGAAAAGTTGAAAGAATATTACAATGAATCTGGATTCCATCTAGATGAAACATTTGTAATATTTTGCCATATTTGCCTTATATCTCTCTGTATGTATTGTTTTTTGAAAATAAGTTGTAGACAGCATGATGCTTCATCCCTACATCTTTCCATCAGAGGTTTTCGTAGCTGGGTTTTTGGAGGCATGCTTGTGGTGGATTTATGTAATTGATTAAAAAGGAAGTACTGATGTGAAAAGGTTACTGTAAGCTATAATATCTTAGGTTTGTATAGTTTAATAGTTTACAAATAGTTTTCACATCCATTATTCCATGGGAACCGACAGCTGTGCTATAAAGTAGGCAAGACAGACATTATTTTCTCCTTTTTGTAGGTGATAGAGCAGAGTCTTACCAGGTTCAAGGCAAAAAGTGCTAATAACAGAAGTAGAGTCTTCTCTCATTTTCTTTTATCAAGCTCTCACAAATATTTGTGCGTATACCCTCAGATAATCAACACCCCTCGGATCATTGCTGCTACATTTTAGGTAGATGGTTCTTTGTGATGGTGAAGAGGAAGTAAAAATGAAAAGCAGTCTATTTCAGATAAGAACTTAATTATTTATATTCTTTATTGGTAGGTAATTCCAACATGGAACATTTCACCTATTAAGAAGGCCAATGAAATTAAGGTAAACTTGGATGGGGGTAATTCTTATTCTTTTCCAGAAAGACTATCAGTTTTAAAACCTAAGTACTTCTTTTCTGTTTGTTAACTTCATTTTTGATCTGTCTTTTTGTTTAATTTCCAGCTTTAGTGTTTTCCATTCCATGACCATTAGGTTTTGATCTCATGCAAGAAATCTCTTTAGCCTCTGCCTTGTGTCTACTTGCTTCCAGCTACTCATTTTTCTCTTGGAAATTTTTTTCCCTGCCCTTCTCTTCTTCCCCTTATTTTCTAAATAGTATGGTTTGTGTTTCCCATTCCTTCGTTTCTCCCTAACTGTGTAGCCTCCTCAGTTTGTGGACATCCACCTCGAAGAAGATGACTCCTCGGATGAAGAGTACCACCCCGCGGAGGAGGAGGAGGACGAGACCGCTGAAGAGGTGAGCGGCGACCCTTGTGTTAATTGGTGACACAGAAGAAAATCTGGTTCAGTAAGGCGGAGTGTACTTTGCTTCCTTAGCAATGTATCACCTGTTCTGTAGAAAGGATTGAGACCCAGTTCTGTTTTCTACTCATTTGGCACAAGTAAGGTGTTCTTCTGCTCTTTACACTCCCTTAATTTTTTTAACTTCTTGTATTGTGAAATATAACACACATATAGAAGTGTGCACAGACTAAAAATGTACATCTTAACAAATTATTATAAAGCAAATCCTCATGACATTTCTTTCAAAATCAGGAACTGTAACATTGCCAGGGCACCCCTGTGCGTCCTTCCCAATCCCAATCACCTCCTTCCACCCTAAAGGTAACTCCTACCCCAACTTTGGTAGTCATTTTCTTGCTTTGCTTTATAGTTTTACCACCTAAATGTACATTCCTGAACACAGTAGTTCAATTTTTACTGTTTATGAACCTTGTATGAATGGACTCATATTTATTCTTTTGTATCTGGCTATTTTTTGTTCAACATTATGCTTTTGAGATCTGTTCATCCTGTTGTAGCTATACTAGTTTGTTCATTTCTTTGCTGTGTAATATTCCATTCTCTTAATGTGTTCTTTAATTTGTTTTTAAAAGGATTTTAAAGCAATGCTTTACAATTTTACAAAGTTTCCAATGCTGATGAAGATAGTGACCTGATCCCTACCCCAACTTTCAGGGTATTACGCCTCTAAGTTTTATTTTTTCTTCCTCTGACTAATTGATTGATATTTTGTGATATTTATTGTCTTGAGAGACTTCAAACTCAGTGGAATAAGGTAGAGGCATAAATGTAAAAGAGAACTGGATTTATTTTTTAGAGTTTATTGGAAAGTGATGTTGAAAGCACTGCTTCGTCTCCACGTGGGGCAAAGAAATCCAGGTTGAGGCAGTCTTCTGAGATGACTGAAACAGACGAGGAGAGCGGCATATTATCCGAGGTAACAGCATCAGACGAAAGAGACGAACTAGAGATTACTGTGTGAGATTCTCGAACTTGTGAATTACCGGTGGTGATTCTGAGCTGTCACCCTTTGTCAAACACGATTCAAGGGCGGTAATCATGCCATTATCGTCCTGGAATATGTGAGCTCTTTATGGGGCTGAGGGTGTGAGACTAGAAGAGTTTCTTTCTTTTCTCCTACCTTTCTCTTCTCACATTCCCACTTTTTCTATTACCGTAAAGCCATTTTTATTAGATTTCTCATCTTTTGGTAACCTAAATTACATCCCGTTGGTTTCATCTGAGATAGAATGAAACCTAATGGGATTAAATTTATATGCTTGACAGTGCCTTTGTTTTAATGTGCCTCTGTCCAGATGAGGGGATCCCTGGTGGCACAGTGGTTAAGAGCTACAGCTGTTAACCAAAAGGTCGGCAGTTTGAATCCACCAGCATCTTCTTGAAACCTGTGGGGCAGTTCTAGTCTGCCCTGTAGGGTCGCTTTGAGTTGGAATGGACTCCACAGCAACGGGTGCGGTTTTTATCCAGATGGGAAGAGAAAGATCATTAGTATATAGAAGAACCCTGTGTTCACCCCCTACTTTTTTAAATCACATGTGCCTCTTTTAATCAGGCTGAGAAAGTCACCACGCCTGCCATCAGGCACATCAGTGCTGAGGTGGTGCCCATGGGGCCCCCGCCCCCTCCAAAGCCAAAGCAGACCAAGGATAGCACTTTCATGGAGAAGTTGCATGCTGTGGATGAGGAGCTGGCTTCCAGTCCAGTCTGTGTAGACTCTTTCCAGGTAAACATCATAAATAATTCTAAATCACTGAGAAAGTCACGTGGAATAGTTTAGCGTTGCTCAGGTTGAGAAGAGAGAGGGAAAGAGACTCTGATACAGTAAGTAAAGGCCACAAAATTGTTAGTCTTTAATATCCTACGTGGTCCGTGCTATTTTATTGTAAGTGAGAATGGCAGTTACTAAGGAAGGGATAAGGTATGAGGCAGAAGCATGTTTTCAGTGTGGAGCATAGGATTAGCCTTTACCCAGATAGTAACATTTTACCACAATTGCTTGATCATTCTCTCCCTCTTTCTCTCTCCATACACTCATTTTTTTTTTTTCTGAATCATTTTATCATGTAGACATGATGCCCTTTCACCCCTAAATAATTAGTGTTTATTTCCTAAAAATGTGGACATTCTCTTATGTTGCCACAATACCATTATCAAAATCAGGATACAATACTATAATCTATTAAAGTTCTAAGTCAAATTTTGCCAATTGTCCCAATGTCCTTCATAGCAAAAGAAAAAAAATTTTTTTTGGATCCAGGATCCAGTCCAAGGTACAGATTGTGTTTAGTTGTCTCTTCAGTCTCCTTTAACTGAAAGTTTCTCAACATTCTGTCTTTCATGACCTCGACACATTTGAAGAGTATAGGCTGATTATTTTGTAGCATGTTCCTCAATTTGGGTTTTTCTGGTATTTCCTCATAATTAGATCTGGCACTGTTGGCAGGAATTCCACATAAGTGATGTTTTTTTCCTCAGTGCATCATATCAGGAATCACACAACATCTGTCTGTTTGCCCCTTTTCTGGTAATGTTAACTTTGGTCCCTCCGTTAAGGTGGTGTCTCTTTTATGGGGCCGAACGTCATCCTTTCACCCACTGGTTTTAGTGTCCATTGATTATTCTTGCCCGAAACAGTCATTACTGTGGTCACTGTCAGTTGATGACTTTGTAATCCTGTTATTTGTCCAGTTCTTTTTAAAGTTGTAAGTTTTCCTCACTAGTCTTGTAGGTCAGTGGAAAGTATGTGTGTCCTGAAATTGAAAAACTGAGTATTGAATGGAATAACTGTCAAGAGTCATTTAATTTAATCATTCTGCTTTTGAGCGAATAAATAGTGGTGGTGATGGGAGGAATAATTTTTTATCTAACCATTTACTCAACAAACACATACTGAATGGTTGAAGTTGGAGTACAACAGGGTACAAGTCAGAAAAATTCCTTCCTCATGGAGCTTATAGTCTAAACACCTAAACAAAAAATAATATAAGATAGTGTTAAGTGCTATGAACTAAATAAGAGCAAGCAAATAAGATCATGACTGTCAGAGTACTTTAGATAGAATGATCAAGAAAAGCCTCCTTGAGGAGATGACATGAATGATTAGAAGGGACCAGTCATGTAAAAGATGTGGGAAAAGAGTGCTCCATGCAGAGAAACAGCACATTCAGAGTCCCTAAGATGGGGACAGTCTTGGCATGTTGAAGGGACAGAAACTGGCCAAAGCATAGGGGTCATGGGAGGGAGCAGTAGGAATGAGGTCAGAGAGCTGGGTAAGTGCTACATCATGAGGGCCTTGGGAGACCCTGGAAGGAAATTTAGATTCTATTTTTACCATTGGAAAAGTTTTTTGTGATATTTTTCTGATCGATGTTAAAATTTTCCTTCTGGTTAAGGTGAGGAAAATGGACTCTAAGGAAGCAAGAGAGGCAACAGAGAACCCAGTTAGGAGGTTGTTGCAGTCGTCTCAGGGGGAACTTCCCAAGGTGATCTGCAGATTCAAAGCCGTCCCTATCAAAACTCGCCTTTTTAGGAGAAATTGATAAGCTGATCCTAAAACGTATATGAAAATACAGGGCGTCCAGAATAACCAATACTGTCTTGAAAAAGAACAAAATTGCAGGACTCACATTTCCGACTTCCACATTTATTACAAAGTTGTAGTAAACAAGACAGTCTGATAACTGGCATAAGGTTAGCAGTATTGATCAGTGGGAAAGAATTGAGAGTCCAGAAACAATCCTTTACATTTATGGTCAGTTGATTTTTGACAAATGTGCCAAGACCAACAAGTGGTGCTGGGACAAGTGAATATCCACATGCAAATGAATGAGGCTGGACCTGTACCTCATACCGTATACAAAAATTAACTCAAAACAAATCATAGACCTCAGTCTAAGAACTAAAACTATAAAACTCTTAGAAGAAAACATAGGAGTAAATTTTTGTGACCTTTGATTAGGTAGTGGTCTCTTAGTTATGACACCAAAAGAGAAAATAGATACATTTGGACCTCACCAAAAGTAAAAACTTTTATACTTCAAAGGGTACTATCAGGAAAGTAAAAGATAACCCAAAGAATGGGAGAAAATATTAGTAAGTCACATATCTGATAAGGAACTTGTATCCATAATATATGAAGAACTCTTACAGCTCAACAATAAAATGACAAATAACCCAATTAAAAAATGGGCAAATGAGATCAATAGACGTTTCTCCAAAGAAGATACACAAATGACCAAGCACATGAAAAGATACCCAATATCATTAGTCTTTAGGGAAATGCAAATCAAAATTGCAGTGAGATATCACTTCACATCCACTAGGATGACTATAATAAAAAAGATGGACAATAACAAGTGCTGACAAGGATGTAGAGAAACTGGAACCCTCATACATTGTTGATAGGAGTGTAGGATGGTGTAGCCACTGTAGAAAGCAGATTGGCACTTCCTCAAAAAGTTAGACATAGAGTTACTATATGACCCAGCAGTTCCACCAGGAGAACTGAAAACATTTGTCCACAAAAAAAGTTTTCCACAAATGTTCACAGCAGCATTATCCATAATACCTCAAAAGTGGAAAAAATCCAGATGTGCATTGACTCACGAATGGATAAACAAAATGTGGTATATCTACATACAATGAAATATTATTTGGCAATAAAAAGGGATAAAGTACTGATACATGTTACAACATGGATGAGCCTTGAAAACCTGATGCTAAGTGAAAGAAGCCTTCACAAAAGGCCGTATAATGTGTGATTCCATTTCTGTGAATTGTCCAGAATAGGCAAATCCATAGAGATAGAGAGTAGATTAGTGGTTAACAAGGGCTGGAGGTGGGAGGGCAATGGATGGTGTCTGCTGATGGGTATGAGATTTCTTTTTGGGGTGATAGAAATGTTTTGGAATTAGATAGTAGTAATGCTTACACAACTCTGTGAATATACTAAAATCCATTCAATTATACACTTTAAAAGGGTGAATTTTATGGTATGTGGTCAATAAAGATATTGTAAATGTTCTTGAGAGGTTGATTTTAAAATGATGTCATTTTCAGAAAATTTCTCAGACAAACAATAAAAAGCTCAAATTGTTTAGAAGAGAAATCTTGTAGTTTAAGCTAAGAATAGAAACACAGAGGAGACGATAAGGTTTGGAGAATTTGGAAGCATTAGACATTCAGTGGTACATTTTTTTCCTTCTCCATTGGCTAGACCATGGATGACAGCCTCATTGCATTCCGAACCCGTTCTAAGATGCCCCTAAAAGATGTTCCCCTGGGGCAACTAGAGGCCAAGCTCCGAGCTCCAGATATCACCCCAGACATGTATGACCCCAATACAGCAGATGATGAGAACTGGAAGACGTGGCTAGGGGGACTCATGGATGATGA